CCCCAAAACCCCAAAACCCCAAAACCCCAAAACCCCGTTCAAACAAATCTTGATTGAAGTTAAAATTCTAGAAACTCTTCTGCTTTGTAAAATAAAATGTATGCGTCTGGATGGTTGCTTAGGTCAAAGGGGTCAGGGAGGATAGAGCATTGGGTTTTGTCGAAGAGCACCCAGTTATAGCCACGCTTGCAGATAGCAGTGTAGTGGTTGTAGAGAAGTGTCTGGGTTTTGCAGATGATGTTTGTGAGAGTGTAGGTTACTGTTTGTACGTCAGGAGTGGAGAGGGAAAAACTGTTTTTGTAGTCTATTGGGTTGTTTGATTGAGTCTGGTTCTTTGACTCTCCTTTCCTGACTAGGACGAGTAGATATTTGGGGTATTTTATGATCTTTTTAGTGAACATTCAGAGGCTGTCATACTGGCAATTTTTGCATCGATAGTGTAGATATTTACCTCGATTGATGCTAGCTCTAAATTCTTCTAATGCTGATTTTGAGGACTGCTGGATTCAATCTAATGGTATATGTTTAAATTCATCATAAATAATGTTATCATTCCCTCAATCTTGACAAGCATATGTTAGCATGGATAACCCCACGAAGAGTTGGTCAACTATTGATGGATGGCTTTTCTCATATTCCTGTCATATATCTTTATAGTTCAGAGAGTCATTTGGAATAAATGGAGCCTTTTTTGGATTTATCTCCTTTTGTATATCTTCGAACAAAACCATCAATAAATCAAAAGAGTCGTGATGGCGAAATCTTGGAAACACTTTGGTAAAGCAGCTCCTGATATTCATAATATCAATTTCCTTGTAATTATCATCGAAGTATTTTCTCTTCAAATCCTTGATTTCATCCGAAACACTCATTTGTAGATTGAACTTGAAATCCCAAGTATCCTTCATTTCTTCATTCTTTTGGGGGCTGCAGAACTCAGGGATAGAAATCAAGCACTGCAAGGCACTAGCAAGGAATGAATCAAAATCAGGACTTCTAAATCCTTTGCATATCTTGAGATCTACTGCTTCATATTTCTTCTCCTTTGTTTCCTCTTCTTCATCTTCTTCTTCCTCTTCGACATATTTTATCTCTGATATGACTTCCCAATCCTCTTCAACATCGATTTCGGCTTGTCTTTTACTATCACTCCTTCATCATCAAACCATATCTCAACAAAACTTAACAGATGAAACCAGTACACAGACCAAGTTATACACTCAATAAGCAACTATACATAACAGCAAGAAAGGTACTGCGCCTTCCATTTTATTTATTATAAGTTAGCCAACTTCTGTAATTGATATGGGGTTTTGGGGTTTTGGGGTTTTGGGGTTTTGGGGTTTTGGGG